GCAACCCTTTCGAAAAATTTAAATGGCATGGGGTGGTGAGTGATAGCTCATTTGAAAGAGAATTTTATTCTCTATTCACCCATGTAAAAAATTTTGAAATTTGCTTCATTCATTCTCGACTAATTGTTGTTTCAGAATAACGGAAATTAACGTAGCGCTCTCATCCTTAGAATTAAAATTCGGCCCTGCATGATTTCGGTTTTGGTTCAGACGTGAAGTAAGACTTTTTGCCATTAGAAGGTCACTGTTAGTTTAGTTGCTTTCCTATTTTGTGAGGTTTTGTTATTTTTAAACATTAATAAATCAACACGTAATGAAGCAAATTTAATTTTTTTTGCACAGTTGAATAGAGAATAAAACCGCCTTTCAAATAAGCTATCACTCACCACCCCATGCCATTTAAATGTTTCGAAAGGGTTGCTCCCCTCCAGTAAGGGATGAAATTAAGGGTAAACTAATCATACAAAAATATACATTCTAGAAATCAAAAATCAACCTGTCTCGGCAATTTTCCTAACAAGACTCCAGTAATGAGTTAGATAGGGGGGGGGTAAGACTTATGGTGCTCACTGTATATTTCATAAAATATAAAAACGGCCTCCCATAAAGTACCCCTCCAGATGTTCTGACGTTGTCCAAAATCTAATCATTTCACGTCAGGCCGAAATAAAACTTAAGTTTAAAATTTAATGTTTTTTCTTTATCCGTTTTTGAGTTTTCTTCAAAATTCAAAATTTACACATTTTTTCAAATATCTCGAATACGGTCCATTTTAGAGAAATCATGTATAGGATAAAAATTATAGAGAATTATATTACAAACAACTTTTATTTGAACAATTTAAAAAAAAATGATTTTTTTTACATTTTGTCAAATTTCTCGAATACGGACCATTTTAGGAAAATTTTGTATAGAACAAAAATTATGGACAATTATATTAGAAGTAACTTTTATTTTAAAATTTTTTTTCTTTAAACGTATATAACAGATATATTCCATAAAATATAAAAATGACCACCCATAAAGTACCCCCCCAGATGTTCCGACTCTGTCCAAAATCTAATCATTTCATTGGACGCTGGAATAAAGCTTAAGTTTAAAATGTGGTGTTTGTCTGTGTATCGGTTCATGAGTTATGGTGGACACACACACACACACACACACACACACACACACACACACACACACACACACACACACACCACACACACACACACACACACACACACACACACACACACACACACACACACACACACACACACACACACACACACACACAACACACACACACACACACACACACACACACACACACACACACACACACACACACACACACACACACACACACACACACACACACACACACACACACACACACACACACACACACACACACACACACACACACACACACACACACACACACACACACACACACACACACACACACACACACACACACACACACACACACACACACACACACACACACACACACACACACACACACACACACACACACACACACACACACACACACACACACACACACACACACACACACACACACACACACACACACACACACACACACACACACACACACACACACACACACACACACACACACACACACACACACACACACACACACACACACACACACACACACACACCACACACACACACACACACACACACACACACACACACACACACACACACACACACACACACACACACACACACACACACACACACACACACACACACACACACACACACACACACACACACACACACACACACACACACACACACACACACACACACACACACACACACACACACACACACACACACACACACACACACACACACACACACACACACACACACACACACACACACACACACACACACACACACACACACACACACACACACACACACACACACACACACACACACACACACACACACACACACACACACACACACACACACACACACACACACACACACACACACACACACACACACACACACACACACACACACACACACACACACACACACACACACACACACACACACACACACACACACACACACACACACACACACACACACACACACACACACACACACACACACACACACACACACACACACACACACACACACACACACACACACACACACACACACACACACACACACACACACACACACACACACACACACACACACACACACACACACACACACACACACACACACACACACACACACACACACACACACACACACACACACACACACACACACACACACACACACACACACACACACACACACACACACACACACACACACACACACACACACACACACACACACACACACACACACACACACACACACACACACACACACACACACACACACACACACACACACACACACACACACACACACACACACACACACACACACACACACACACACACACACACACACACACACACACACACACACACACACACACACACACACACACACACACACACACACACACACACACACACACACACACACACACACACACACACACACACACACACACACACACACACACACACACACACACACACACACACACACACACACACACACACACACACACACACACACACACACACACACACACACACACACACACACACACACACACACACACACACACACACACACACACACACACACACACACACACACACACACACACACACACACACACACACACACACACACACACACACACACACACACACACACACACACACACACACACACACACACACACACACACACACACACACACACACACACACACACACACACACACACACACACACACACACACACACACACACACACACACACACACACACACACACACACACACACACACACACACACACACACACACACACACACACACACACACACACACACACACACACACACACACACACACACACACACACACACACACACACACACACACACACACACACACACACAACATCATCATCGCGAAAATAGTCAAAACGGATTCAGGGGACCTCAAAACGTAAAAATTCGTCGAAAACTCGAGGTCGAAAAAATCATGATTTTAACATAATATGATTAATCAATTATTATAAACTGTTTCTTATTATTAAAAGCAATAAATCGCCAAGATCCATAATAGAGTTTTATGAAAACGGTTTAACTTATTTTAATGTGATATAAAATTATCAGTTCATTTATTATATTTTAATATATTTCTGTAAATTCTATAGAAACTTTTAAACAATATTTTGATATCAAAACTCCACAATAATTAAATGAATTAGATAGGTAATAAAAATAAAGTAGGGACGATAAGTTCAATCTTTCTCGGCTTAAAACTATATGCATATAACAAATAGGCAGGTAGGTACTTACTTTTCCGACACTGGCAATCACTAATATCGATTCACTTTACTTTTCTTTTCGAAAATCTGGAAACAAATTCAGTCACTAACCAACACTAATATCGATTCACTTTTCTTTATGAAATTCCAGAAACAAATGAGTAACGATTATCCTTGACATTTGTATTTATATTGGTGAAGAATCAAACATGTTCATGCAAGATTGCAAGCACATACCCCACAAGTCGTATTAATTCGCACGTCTGAACAAGCGTTGCGGTCGGAACGGCGGCTGGCGCGGCAACGACAAGTCTCGACGCGTTGTACTGACTATGGAATATGCAAATTTTTACAAGTAACAGTCGCTGAGCTTCTTAAAATATTATCTGCCTATATATATAGTAAACTAAAATGTTGACTGTTTATATCATATCAGTTGAAGTTTTTTACAAGAATTTCTTCATCACATGGAAAAATGAGTAATCAATTGTTTAATAGTATATTGCTTCACTATCGAAACCAAATTAATTTTCATTCACCCCCGCTTACGATTGTTTACCCCCATTTTTTATTACGCCCAACGTACATCGCCGTCGAGTCTCCCGTCTACCCCTGGGGTCCATCTGGGCCACTTTGGGAAATACTGATCTAGGCCTATTAAGAGAAAATTATTTTTTTTCTTGGTAATGAAAATTGTACAACTAATTTTCAAAATTTAATTAACAGACTTTTATATTAACTATCTTTAGCCAAAATAAATCATTTGAATGTGCATATCAATTTATGTTTGTCTTATAATGATTTTTTATTAGATTTTTACGGTCGTTTTTTAACTGTTGGGTTCTAATTAACTGTGCTGTTCCTAAAGTGGCGCTGGGAAACAGTAACAAAGCCTACACAGAACACGAGGCTAATGGCCGTAGTAGTCGACGCCGATGACACTAAATTAAAAAAAAAAAAAAAAAAAAAAAAAAAAAAAAAAAAAAAAAATGATCAAAAAGGACAATTATCCGAAAATGATAAATTTTTAAACGAACCATCTAAATATAAAAAACTGTACACCTTTATTAAGAGAATTTATAATATTTATAAGAGACTATCTGAACATTTTTTTTCATTTATGGTATCCAAAAACCCAATTTCAAGTTTTTTTTTGGGTCGCCTTGTATAATTAATTCATAAACACATATTTTTTTTGATTCTATGATATCTACTTAAAACCATTTCCGACTAAAAAAAAAACATAAAGGAGATGAACGACAATTTTTTTTGGTCCACGACAAATTCAAAATTCCAAAGTGGTAGTGCTAATTTAATGGGTCTCATAGGATTTCCCATTTTACTCTTAAAGCAGATTTATAGCAACCCCAAGGATGTCCCTCGGATTCAAAAGTTTTATCAATATCTTAAAAAACGGTTTTAGGTGTATCTTTTGTATACTTTGATAAATTTAGAAATGGGCTTTCACATCGGTTAGTTCTATTGTAAATATTGTGAGCTTAATAATCTAGAGATATTTATTTTTCACAGGATATTAACAGAGCCTTATCGCTAGATTATCCCGAAAAGTTAAAACCAAAATTACTGAAACGAAAAATGGACGCTGAATCTCAAAAACATATGCAAAAACAAGTGAGATTTTACAGAAAGCCTCCCGTTATCAGATCTAAAAATCCTTTGATATCTTGTGCAGAAGATTCTATAGAAATACAATACAACAAAAAATATGGTAGACATATTATTGCGACTAGAGATATAAACATTGGAGAAGTTTTATCTGTAGAAAATTCTTTTTGTCACGTTGTATGTCCAGAGAGCAAATATATACACTGTCATGAGTGTTTAGAACTTTGTTTTAATATGATTCCATGTCAAAACTGCACTGGAGCATTGTATTGCAGCGAAGATTGTAGAAGTAACGCTTTCAAAGGGTATCATAAATATGAGTGTCAATTTCCCAAGTTCTTGTGTATAGATCCTAGAATGATGATGTTCATCAAATTAACATTAATTGGTAAATATTAAAACATTTATAATAATTTAATTAAGGCACCTTTTAATTTTTGTCTAAAGGACCCCGCACTTTTCTTATGCAAAGTGGCGACCCGTCAAATTTTCTGAAACTGTTGTATGTTGTTGTAGTCTATTTAGTAACCAAAAGTGTCAATGGGCCCAACTCAATCTTTATGACTAGTTTTCGGGGTGTTAAAGTTGGAAATCTCGAACCGAAAATGATTTTTTTAAAACTTTAATTTTACTTATAATACAATAAATAATATGTTTATGGTTTGAATGCTAACTAGGAACTTCCTTAGAACTTAATAAACTACTTTTATATAAACGAATTATTCTAAAATGCTAACTATGCAAAATCGTATCTTTATATATTCTTCTATAGTATGGGTGGTATAACTCCTCCCCCTGAAGATCCAGGTTCCGAGGGCTAATGAAGAATAGCCAGAATAGCCAGAAGATAAGGATGAAAACTAATATAATATAAATAATAATAGTCCATGAGCTTGGTACATATGGAATGGTTTTGGATTCGAAATTTGGTTGATTTTGAATTATGTTTTCTCGTAGAGTTTGGAGTCTAGATTGATGGGTTGCAATTTGACATTGGGAGTGGACCATTCTTTTTCGGCAATTTGGTCGTCCATTTTTGGAAATAGAATAGGTTGATTCTCGAATGAATTTGACTCAGCATTAACAATGGTTTCTTCCTCAGTAATAATTTGACAATTTGTGGGAACTACTGCTAAAGAGGTTCCAAACAGCTTAATTATTTCTTCTTGAGAATTACATTTTAGGGTTAGCGTAATTTCTTTGGGTAGGACCAAAATCCATTGATTCGTTTGTTCTAATCTCTGAAAGAAGGGCGTGATACGGCTATGGATACTTGTGGGCATGTGAAGGTGGTTGCGTAGTTTAGAAGTTGGATCTCGCAGGAGCTGTTCTGATTTACTTTTCTGAGACTGGTTGGGTCACAAATGTAATTTTGGCTGGACATCTTGGTGCAGGCGTTACTCGAATAAGCATAGTTCAATTTATTTTGCACAACATATTTATTTTCCGGGTTAATGGCCTTAAACTAGCCATTTTTCAAAATAGGTATAGGAGATATAAATTATATAGGGTTAAAACTACAGGTATAGTTATTGGAATATGTATTATGTACGTTTTTTAATTATTAGAAAGAAAGCAGGATATTTTTATAATCTTTTGGAGAAATAATACATTACTTAAGCTTAAATTAACTGGTATTCCTTTTTTACTATAATCTTTAAATACGGTTTCCAAAATTCTGAATAAATCTTTAATTGTAATTATGCTGGGATGTAATACGCCAAGTTGTGCAAATGATATCGAGTTTTCAATATCTTGTAGTATTGAATTTAATAACTCATACATATTAATAATTTGGATAATTGTATCTTTTATATAAATACTATTTTCCCATTTAAATTGGTCTTGTACCAATATGGTTATTGTATAAATCTTGATTGTTTTATTGTTCGAACTGTTTTATTATATTTATCTATTAGCGATGTTGCTAATGAATTTTGATTAAAAAAAAGTGTTTTAGATTGTTTTGATTTGATTGAAGCTGTTCAATCAGTTTCTCGTAATGTTCTCCATCACTGGCATCTAGATTCCCAGATAACAATTATACATTCTTAGCATATTCTCAGTATATGCTTTTTAAGAATGTGCATATGCTGAGAATATACTTTATTTGCATTTGGAACATTCTTAGAATATACCAAGAATATGCTACGTGACGTTGTTTATACGTGCTATGCAGATGCTGAGAATGTACTCGAGTATGTGTACAGTATGCAATGGGTATCTACTTTAATTTAATAGTACGTTCTAAATATATGCTTAGTATTTAAATATAGCATATGCTAGGCATATACTAGACACCCTAATACAGAATGTTTCATTAATATTGAACAATAAAGAATAAGTGTATATAATGAAATCTTTATTTAAAAAAAAAATCATACTTATTCTTATTTTTAATACAAATTCTTCCTTTGGCCTTAACTAACCAATATTTCATTGTATCAATGGCTTGAGTTTCATTTGCTTGATTCCATTGGATCTTCATTGAACCTAAAAAATAAAAAAATCAACAAACAAATTAACTGTACATAGCTAATGGAATATTTTAAATATTTTTGTCGAACGTGAAACATTAAAAATTGTACATGGCATTTCACTAACAAAAACAAGAGTTACATAAATGATTATTATGTTTAGTGAAAGTTTAAATATATTTTTGTTAATTACTTACCACCATTTTGTAGTTTTCCTCCTCCTTTAGCTTATTTTCTAGTTCTTCCAGGTCAATTTCTGGCCTTACAGGATTTTAATTTTTACTAATTTACTTACTGAAACGAGATCAAAGAAATTTGTAGGAATTGTAGGTTATGTTATTCTTCTTCTTCTTCTTATCTTTTATTAAGGTTGTTTTTGGCCTAAATATTAGTGCGTCTGCTAACCAATTAATAGATCGGTATCTGGGAAAAATTCATATAGATATGTATATAAACGTTTTTTTTTACATGTATTTGTTGTTAATTTTTACGTGCAAGCATTTAGAACATTCTCAGAATATGAGGTACATGCTGGGTATATGACTTTTAGTATCTTCTTAGAATGTCCTGTTATAGCACGTGCTCAGTATATACTTTTAAGGCACGTGCTCAGCATATACTTTCTAGAATATACTTTCAAAGTATATACTAGGTATGTTCTATGAACATACTAAAAAGGACATACTAAAAAGAACATAAACAGAACGTTCTTAGTATATTCATAGAACATTGATGTTATGTAGGTTTCCAGTGATTGCTTTAAATATAGAACCTACTCCATTTATTAATCCTCTTTTTATTCTTTGGGGGTGCGGTATAATTTCATTTAATCTAATTTCTATTTTATCTTCTAAAAAGTGTAGTAATTTGAAATAATTTGAATTATCTGTCATATAATCTTTATTTTGTTGAACTGACTTAGTTATGTTTCTAGTTTTAGTTTTTAGTCCATCGATTTAAATGATTTAAATCATAAAAATAAATTATTGAATGATAATATTTAATTACTTTTGCATTGCCAAGTTTTAAGGGTAAAAGTCCGGAATTTTCACTAACATTTTTTAATGTTATGGTGTCTGGTAGTCCTAGTATACCAGGTAACCTGAAAAGATAAAATGTAGTTATCGAAAGAATAAAGTCTTTTCAGTGGGCATTTAATATTACTCATATATTTTACCATGTTTTGAAGTGGTTACAGTTTTTCGTTTTTTATTTACTGATTTAATAGCAATTGGTTTCTGAAATTTATTAGCACTTTTCTGTCTTTTAGTATTTTTGATATACGCAGTGTGGTCTTCACGATCTGTATTACTTTTTTCGACAACGCCTAATTGTCTCAATCAATTTTTGAATACAAACTATTTTCAACTACATTAAAACGTAACAATTGAAATATTATAACATTTTTAACATAATGGTTACTTTATCAAGTGTTCAAAATGTGCTCCATCTGTGAGTTGACAGTACCCTAATCGATGGTAGAATGCGTCTACCACATTTCTCCATGATTGTTTTATTTACTACTTTAAATCATAAGTGTTACATATGGATGAACTCGTATTGAATAGGAGATTCCAATAATGACTGAATATACAGGGCATACCTGGGCAATTCCTAGTTAAAGAGTAATTAATAATTACAATTGCTTTTTTTTTTCATGTAATTTGTAATTGTATTTAAGTACTTTTTTTTTCTCAAAGTATTTTGGAATTGTAATTGCAGCAAAATCTGTGGAGGAATTGTACTTTGTAATTATATTGATTTATATTATTTAAATTGTCTAAATATAATTACATGTCATAAGTACAATCACTTTTCCAATTACAATTACTATTACATTTACATTTATAAGTATAATTACATTTTTTAATTACAATTACTTTTAAATGCGTGTTTATGAGATGCATGTGATATGAAAACAAAAAAATTCCTTGTTCAAACCAGTCACTAGAGCTTGGATTCGCATCCGTATTATTTGTTTGATTGCATTTGAGGAAAACGTTGTGCCGTGAAGCACTGAAATTGTTCAACCCAAAATAATAACAGTAAGGGGCAAGTAGATGCAGATATCCTTATTTCTAAAACGTATTTTGTATTTATATTATTATAAACATAATTTATGTTGCATAAACATTATAAATTAAGGAAATATAGTATGAAGTGGTGAAAATAGCAGTTTTTATGGGGTAAATAGTGAAAACTACTTTTTTTACGTTGCGTAGGTATTTCTAGTTATTATTCTAGTTTTCTACATTGAAATGTGGGAGTAGAAAAAACATGTTTTTCTACACCTACAGGAATATTAGCTTATCTACGCACAGATTAAAAAAAGTTGTGAGAACACTGCAAAAAAATGAAATCCACCAGTCACAGTTGATATTTTGGATACCAAACTACTATTATTTTTAAAATTTTAAATAAGTGACAATTATTCTGTCAAACTAATTGTCAGTATATTTTTTAGTTATTGAGATTAAATATACACTAAATGAGTTATTTTTGTTTAGAATCGATAAATAATAAAAAATTTATTTTTATTTGGGCCACAATTTAAAAAAAAATAAGTTTTAATCAAACTATATGAAACTAGTTTAATTACGAGTATTAAAACGAAAATCATAAAGGTAGCGATGGAGCTGAGGACAGAGCATCTGCCTTCCTTGCGAATAGCACAGGTTCAAATCTGGACAAGGGACCAATTTTCTTTTGTCTATTTTATTTTATGAATTAGTAAAAAACATAAATTATTTTAAAATTAGTTATTTTGTCTTAATAATCTAAAATATTAATGATTTTCGTTAATGGGTCGTAGAAAAAATATACTGTACAACTCCATATCCACTCTTGTTGCACAAACTACTATTTCAATTTCAGTATTATTTGTCAATATACAGGATAATTTACCACGCCT